TTGTAATGGGGAATGGGAAAGCCAGTTTTACTTAACAACCGTGTTACTAACTTAATAACTGCAATGATTCACTTAATAACTGGGGCAAGAAAGGTTGTAAAATGGGGCAAAATTCACTTACAGGGGAATTGTTTCACTTAGCAACAGAAATTTTGGGCTCAGTTGTGGTGGTAAGTCGAGGACTACCTCTAATAGGACCCAAAGTATTTCATGATTAAGTACTATAGGTAGATGGGAGCAATTCTCCAGAACATTAATAGGCAAAATCCTGGAAATGGGAACAGATGCAGATAACACAAATTTAGAATTATTGGAAAAGAGACCACCACCAGGAGTCTCTTTGTACATTTTTGGCAAAAGCAATGGAAAAGGTCCTAGGTGGTGGGGAGTGAGGAAGAAAGGGAAACATAAACATTATGCATTGGAATTTAGAGAAAAAACATAATGTATGGATGTGAGCGGCTTTAATATTTTTCTATCTCTCTAACTCAGTGGTTCTCAACCTTTTTACTGCCGTGACCCCCAACCGGTCGTAAGTCGAGGACTACTCAACTGGTGCAGCACCGTTTGCAGAATGGGACTTTTGGCGGGCTTAGCAGGGCAGAGACAGCCTGTAGAATTCCTATTGGCTTTTGAAAGCCAATAGAATTAGACTCTATTCAAGAGAATCTATTCTATTGGCTTTCAAAAACCAATAGAATAAAAGGGAGTAGCACAGCTAAGGAAAAGGGGGAAAAAATGGCGGACTGCGTTGTTTGGTGACCCCCGTGAAATGGTCGTTCGACCCCAAATGGGGTCCCGACCCACAGGTTGAGAACCACTGGACTAGAAGATCCCTTCCAACTCTGTTATTTGTTATATGTTACAATGTCCTAAGTCATTGTCCTACAAATTTACAGAAGCAAACATTACCCAGCTATCCAATGCTGTATCTTAATGATAAAGTTGTGGTTTGGTATTCTACTTTTTCATACTTGATGTTCATACTTTTCACACTGAGTTTTCTGAAGAACTCTGTGAGTCATGGGGAAATACTAAGGCATCTTCCATGTTGTTATCAATTCACTTATCAAGGTCGGTGGTCTCATTGCTTCACTGTCAGCATTAAAGTGCATTGTACAGTATCATACACCTGTGGCTATATATTGCAACAAATGCCTGTTCTGTAATCTTGTCACTGAGACACTCCTGGTAGGCCTCCAACCAAGATATAACAAAATTGGAGACTATTTGACTGTCCACTATTACAACTATGAAACAGTTAACTAAGCGAGAACCTTTAGACCAGAGGTTCCCCCCAAACCCAGGGCCATACAAGCAAGCAAAGCCCCATTCTTACATGCACAGGATCCAGGCAGTGTGCAAAACCACACACACACACACACACGCGCGCGGGTCCGCAGAAAAACTGCCCTCTACAGAACCGGTCCCTGGCATCCAAAATGTTGGGGGGCATTGCTTTAGACATCGTTCATGCTCTAAACAGCTCACAGCTCAATTATTGCAATGTGCTGCTCTTGAAAATTACTTGGAAACTTCAACCAGCCCAGAATGCAGCATCCTGGGCCATGATGAACATGCCTGAGTATGCCCACATAACACCTCCATTTGCAATCTGTACTGTTTACCAGTATGATTCTGGGTGTGATATAAGTGATGGTTATATAAATCTTTATGTGACAAAGGGCCTGGTTATTTATAGGACTGCATATTTCTCATTTTTTTTGGGGGGGAGGGGAGTTTACATCTTGATAGATTTGACATGCTCTTGGTTCTTTCAGTTGAACAGTGTAATCTATTAGGACCCAAGAAACATGCCTTCTGTATCATGACACCTTTCCTGGAATCAGAGCCCCCCGAGATCCGTGTAGTTTCCACTCTCTTGGAGTTCCATGAGACCATGAGAACCTTGTTCTCCAAGAGCTTGAGTTAAGATGGATTGAGTTCCCTGTTGGATGTGTTTTTGTCTGTATTTTCAATAGAGTGATAGAATCGCATCTTATTTTTAAATTAAATTATGAAATTAATTACATTAATAATTACATTATTAAATTAGTTTAAAATTGAATAGTCATTTATCGGAAATGGTATAGGGCTTTCTGCTTGAGCAGGGGGTTGGACTAGAAGACCTCCAAGGTCTCTTCCAACTCTGTTATTCTATTATTCTGTTAATTATTTATTATATTCTGAATCAGCTAGAGTTGCCTTGCAGTTGGGCAGCACCTACATGGAATTAAATAATTAAACAAATAAATAAATAACTCAATTAAGAGAGTTAAAACTTATGTTGCTTGGATGTCTTTCAGTTTAATTTGCAACCTTATCCTGTTCATCAATAAATTAACACTACTAAGTTGACTGGGGTCTGTTCCGTTAAACATACAAGCCTTTGAAGCTAAGTTGTAACACATGCAACTTTGAGGAATAATAGTTGAAATAGAATACCGTATGAGACCAGAATAGAAACATAAGAAGTGAACTGGAAGATTAAAAAATGAAGCACATGCTCAAGATCTTCAACATTAAAGGAAGATGACTAGGAATATTAAATATGGAATGATCTGGAGATAATTTGAAAAAGACAAGGACACAGGTGGTAGCTGTAATGCTAATGCCTACCCTAACTCCGTTGCCAGCCCTGTTTGTGAATGTGAGTTTTTACTGTTATTGGGTTTATACATGGAAACACTGTGAAGTCACTTTCATTTTAAAAACTGTAATATACATACGTGAGTCAAAATTACATCAAGAATCTTAAAAGAAGCTTGGATTATGTGTCAGTCTGAGTCATGTGAATATGAATAAGTCATATTCTTTTGATATTCTTTATGGAAATGACTTCTATGTGCGCTCTTGAACAAAACTGCAGAAAGAGACTTTCAGAATCTAGTAGTGCTGCAGTGCTTCTTGGCCTTTTGGTTGAACCAAGTCTAACAATATAACAGCCAAATCAGAACATTGAACATGACAGTTTTATGAAACTTACTGAAGTTTCTTATCCTTGTTCTGAATATTCAAATAAGATTTTTATATATATAAAAAAAAGATTATTATCTAAAGAGTTATCTTCTATTTTGTACACAAGTTTTATTTTCAGATATGTTTCCGGCATGTTGTATCAGAAAGCAAGCAAGCCTTTAGAAGGCCGAAAAAGATCTTGATATGGCTTCACACCAACAGGTAGAACATCAACAGAAATTTGGTCATTCTTTATACCTCACAGTCTCATCCTCTACAAAGTGACAATTTAAAATTTAAAAAAGGATGGAAGAAAGTTTATTTGTACAAGGAATTAGAAATGGATAGCTAAATGAAATTATAATTAATACTGTATATTAATTAAAACAAGTTACGAAGGAAACATGTTGGAAATATAATGACATTCAGGTAGTCCTTGACTTATAATCACAAGTGGGACTAGAACTCCATTTGCTAGGTGATGCATGTCTTACATAAGTCATCATGTGACTGTGATGGATTTTAAAACTTTTTTGCCATGGTCATTAAGCAAACCACATGATTGTTAAGTGAAACTGATTTGCCCCTTGACTTTCAGTGTGGGAAGTTGGTGAGGAAGGTCACAAATAGTCATATATGTCCCGGAGACACTCTCATACATGTTTTCCCGAAAGTAAGACCCTGTCTTATATTATTTTTGCCTCCAAAAGAGGCATTAGGTCTTAATTTTGGGGGTGTCTTATATTTTTTGTGACACCTGCCTCACCTCACGATGGCAACACCAACAGCCCCATCCAGCAGCCTGTGTGGTTGCTGATCCATTTCTGCTGTGGCTTCCTGCCCCATTGCGGCAGTGAGGTGGGATGGAGTGGCCAGGGTCCTAACTAGGGCTTATTTTGGGGGTAGGGCTTATATTAGCCCCCCCAAATCAGGTTAGGTCTTAGTTTAGGGGAGGGGTTTATTTTCAGGGAAATACGGTAGTTGCCCATCACCTGAATTGCAAACACATGACCTTGAGGATACTGCAATATCATAAGTGTAATGAAAGGTCATAAATCACTTTTTTTCAGCACAGTCATAACTTTGATCAGTCTCTAAATAAATGATTGTTAATTCAAGGACTACCTCTGTAACATATTACTGATATGAAGACTTATAAATAATATAATTTTGAACAACAACAAAAAAAATCAGAGTTAAGATCCATGGAAGCAGAGCTGTCATTGGGCCTTTTATAATTCAAAACTGCACAGGCAGTTATGGGAACACCCATGTTTGCCCACATTACGCCACTCCTTGCAAGCTGCTCTGATTCTCAGTAGGCTTCCAAACACAATTCAAGGTGCTGATTATGACTTATAAAGCTTTTTGTGGCATGGAACCAGGTTATTTGTAGGATCATCTCTCTCCAGTTCTTTCTAACTGTCCCATTGGATCTAGCAGGGTTCCAGGTCTCACCTGTTAAACATTACGACCAGGTGGAACCCAGGGAGTTTGCCTTCTCTATTGCTGTGCCTCTTCCCTGGAACACCATGCACATTTGTGGGGCCCTGACCCTGCTAGCATGTCATAACTCCTTGAAGATCTGGTTGTTCATTGAGCATAAAGTCTGGAGGTTAGGTGTTATTTTGTGCTGATTTGCTTGCCATCGTTGGAGTTGGTTTGCCTGCCATCATTTCATTAATCATTGTGGTTTGTAATGTTTTTGTTTTTATTTAGCCAGGGTGGCGCAGTGGTTAAAATGCAGTATTGCAGACTAACTCTGCCCACTGCCAGGAATTCGATCCCTATGGCTCACAAAGTTGACTTAGCCTTCCATCCTTCTAAGGTTGGTAAAGTGAGGTTGTATGCTGATGTGTAAACTACTCAGAGAGTGCTGTAAAGCAGGGATCCCCAACCCCTAGTTGTAGATCAGTACTGGTCCGCAGCATGCCAGCAACCAGTCTGCACAAACAAGGAAAGCCCCATTCACAGGATGCAGGCAACACACAAAACCACACCCCCTCCGGTCCGCGGAAAAACCTCTCTCCAGGTAACCGGTCCCTGGTGCCCAAAAGGTTGGGGTCCTTTGCTGTAAAGCACTGTGAAGTGGTATATAAGTCTAAGTGCTATTGCTATTTGATCTTAATCCTTTGTGCACTGCCTAGAATTGCAATTGTAAGAGGGGCAGCTATATACAGTGCTTACATTTACAGACATTTCTAAAATATTGTTTTCACTTGGTCATTATGGGGTACTGAGTGTAGAGTAATTAGAAAAAAAAATGAATTTCAACAACTGTAGAATCAGACCATAGCATAACAAAATTGATAAAAGTGAAAGGGGTCCACAGTGCATTCAGAATACTTTCTGAAAGCACTGTAACCCCAATAAATCAAAAAAAAACCCCACCCCACTCTAACAGTACAGGAGTACAAGCAAAGAGGCAGATGCCTATAATAAGACTAACCCAACAATAGCAATCACCATCAGAACCCCAGCAAGGACGCAGATACTGATGAAGACAAAGTCACTGCTATCTTGAGCCTTGCTCTCATAGACATGTGCCACGCCTACATCCTTTGGCTGGGACTCCACCAGATTCTCAGCATACTGATTCAGCCTATAGGAATTAGAGCCAGAGATCAGATTCACAAGGGCCTCTTTCCTTTTAGGCTCACATTGCACTTCGTATTGATGAATATCCTCTTGGTTTCCATCGGAAAAGTCAATGTACAGAATGCTGACAATCACAGACGTGTTGTTTCTTTTCTAAAAGAGGGAAGGAAAGAACAGTTTTTTAAAAATAAAACTGTTTCTGGTACATAAAGCCTTGAATACAGATAAATAAGGCCATTAGACCAAGCTGAAGATGGGCAGCAACCAGTGACAAATTATGGCTTTCAGCATTCAGTCCTGTAGTGCCAAGCGGGAAGCAGAACTAGATGCTTTTCGGGCCCTTGCTGGGCTGCCTGGCACAGTTTCCCAGCTGCATTTGGCTTGAAGAAACAGATACTGTATTGTGCAAACCTGAAAGGAGACCGGTGGCAAGACGACTTTACAAACTTACAGGTAAGGTTTTTTTGAGGGAAAATTGTGCAATAATTTGGCAACTTCTCAGTGTGATAAATGGGTAGGCTGGCTAGAAATGGTACTAAGCTTTGTGGATATACAGATGAAGTTTTGAGTAAAGAACAATGCCAATATTTTTGTGAGCACATACTGAGATAAGGATCCACTTAGAACATATTATAAAATGATTTAAATAGAGCCGTGGCGTGCAAATCATTTAAGCTGCTTGGATATTTTTATTTTTATTTCTGGGATCACCACCGGCTGGGAAATCTTCTGTAGCTGCCCTAATGAACTATAAAAGAATATGTTTAAAGGTTGTGGTACCTACCTTGTGGGACAGAAATCCTTGACCTTTTGGGCCTTTGGGAAGGCTGTACAAATCTGGCTTTTTTTTTCTCTCCTTAGGTTTTAAGGGCATATTGGTAGGGGAACCCAATACAGTGTCTGTGATTGAAGATAATGCATGAGCTGCTTCAGCTTTTGTACGTGCATTTATTGTGTTTGCTTGTACTTGTACATATGATGTTTTTATTGTTTTGTATTGTGTTCCACCCAGAGTTATTTGCTTAAGATTGCTGGCATTATAAAGTTCTTAAATAAATAAAATAACATAGATGAGCTGAAATTCACAACATAAACTACCCTCTTTCCTTCCCTGATGATAAATGCCCAGTCTTTCATGCCACAAAGACTGTACTAAAATTCTGGGGCCAAACTGACTATCGTGAAGTGGAACATCCATTATGACTTTTTTAAAAACTTAAAAATAGCAGCAGGAGGTTGATGCCTTAACTGGACTGAGTAGCGATTAGTGACCCTATCGGGACACTTTCTTTCTGGAAGCAGTTCATTATCAAGGGAGGATATTCTCTCAACAATGATCATTAGGACATCAGTAGGGAATGAAAGGGTTAAGTTTCATTTCCGTGCCTGTGGTGATCCCAGAAATAAAAATTCCCAAACAGGTTAAATACAAAAGATGGAATGCTAAATCTAGTTTGGTCCTCTGTTTTTTATTATATTATCTGAGTATGTTTTAAATATAAAGTGAACATCTGGAATTATTTTGTTTAGTAAACAGACTATAGTTTTCCATATAAACTAATGCTTTTCTTCACAATTTCTTTTTTTAAAAAATCATTTTCTCAAACTATCAGCCAGAGAATGAGAATGGGCTTGTGTCCTTGAAAGAAAGTAAGCTACAATCAACTTTCTTATATAGTTTTACATACCATATAGGGTAGAGAAGAAAGAAAGAAAGAAAGAAAGAAAGAAAGAAAGAAAGAAAGAAAGAAAGAAAGAAAAGAAAGAAGAAGGAAGAAGCAGCAATTTGCAAATCTCACAATAAATAAAATAATAATAATAAATTAGATATAAAGGAAGACCCAATATCCCAGTGACTATTTGACCAAATGGATGTTTCCATAGGGCATTGAGCAAAACTATGTGTTCTGAGTCACTAGAGATTTATAGGTCGACACCACATATATTTTCATGTCATAAATTACCATATCTTATAGGTATATCCAATGCATAAAAAGGCAAATTAGCATTTCCTTTTATCTTCCTTTCTAAAATATCAGAGAGATTTTTTTAATGTGTATATGTATACATGAATGGGTATAAAACCTATCAGGAATCTTTTGTGTGCTACTTTGAGTGAGTTCATTGCCAATATACCAACATATCTGTGACAGATGATTCAATATATTAAATAAACATCTATACTAGATGACCTTTTCTTCAGTAATAATCATTTTCGACTTCTGCCTTAATTGTCCAATGATATGAGTATATCATGGTTAATCTCATGAACTTGTTAGTCTTGCAGTTTCTAATTATTTGTGCTCAGCTAGCAAAGCCAATGGCAGTGTCGATTGGTGAGGAGGACTTCAGAGAAGAGGATTTTCCTCACCAAACCCTGAAACACATTCAGCAACAGATGCTATCACGATCAAGATGTCACAGGAGCAATGGACCTTTCTGTGGTTTTCATAATAACACAACTGCTACTATATATGGGACATGGGTAGACAGCTCCTTTCATCTTGGCTGAGCATTAGTAGCTAAAACTCTGCCCTTTCAACACAGATAACGTACTTGCGGTTCTGTGCCACAGGTTTCAAATCTTGCATGTATCCGAAAGGTCAAGCCAACCACTTGTGCAGGGCAGGAGGGGACTCCTAAGTAGATTTTATTTCGCTCCAGCTGAGCCAAAGACTGTGTGAGGATTTGGATCTGAAATTCTGTCCTTGTGCAGCTGACATTCATAGGGACAACTACATCGAGGAGAAACAAAACAAAGAAGGAATCTGTGAAATTATAGAATCATAACAAACAGCAGTAACCTCCAGAGTTAATGTGCCTGGCCCAATACTATCCATAAAGTAGAATACATGCTTTCTTCTAAAATCTTATACACGCACCAAACTACTATCCAAACTTAGAGATAATAAAACCAAGTTGGTCTACCATGGATATAACCTACCATGTAGTTCTTGTGCTACAAGTTCCCATATAGTATCCCCTAGATTCCAATACTTTGGAAATCCTCATGAATATATCACGTCCGAGAGTTTTCTGCTGACATTAGATTCTCTGGATGTGACAGGATTGTGAAATTGATTAGGAAACAGTTTAGGGTTAGGGCTGGGCTCTCATGATCTCTAGTTTCCCCAAGGAATTGGTGGGCAACAAAAGATTGCTGTTGTTGTTTTTGAAAACACGACCAAGTGTACATGCCTCTGTATATGCCTTTTCAGTCAGAATACTGAACTTAGATAGAAGCATAGAACATAGAGCAGGAGCCAAAAAAGCCAATGCACTCCTAAATTGCACTAACAGAGGGATTCAATCAAGATCACGTGAAGTACTAATACCTCTCTGAAATGGTAGAGGGCTTCCTGCTATCTACACCAGAGATAAGGGAATAATTTTCTACAGAGATTAACAGTTGTATGGTGGAGTTTTATATCACTGGCAGCAATAATGTAAGCAGATCATCCATTTAAAGCTCTAAATTTTCAAGACCAAAAAAGAAATAGGTCTAAAATTTGTCTAAAATATATTTTGTTAGAAGTTTTTCCAGCTGTGGTCTCTGCTTTTGCTGCAGTGTTGAAAGCTGGTAACCACAAGAAGGCCAAAGAAGAATCCCAGAGGAGTAACCTGGCTAAATTTGACATAACGATCAGAACTAAACAACTACATTTTTGGCTCACCAATGTTGCTAGAGATTAACAGCACTTCCAGAGAGATTATACATAGTGGGCAGCCCCATTTATATTAAAGCAGTGCTTGGAAAATTTTATTTCCCTTTGTGATTGGAGTTCATTTTTCACCACATAGTGAGAAATCTTGGAATAATTTCAGTTTGTGATCATATCCCTAGCACCAGTTTAAATTCCTCAGTATGGAAAAAAAGGTGCATTTTTAACCTATTCGTTTGGGGGGATAAAAACAATGTTTTCATAAAAACAATGCCAGGGCAAAGGAACAAAGCTGAGCTGATGCCTTCTGCAAACACATAACAGATGGATCTCAAACTGGTCCCTTTATGAGTACAAAGAAAAGAAGTTAGTACATATTCCAGGACCTCATACTTCAGTTAGAAGAAATATTTAGAAAAATGTTTTGAACAGCATCTATAGTTTGAGATGATACCCCTGATAGGTCTATAGAATAATGATCAAACCTAATTCTTATAGAGAAATAAGGTACAAATCTTGTATTACATACTGGATATTTTTTAACACCCTCAAAATATTAAGACTGATATATGCGTGGATGTAAAATTAAGACAGAAAAATAACTGCAAAGAAAGTAGATAATCTTGAACAACCCAATTCTAAATTGGCTACAAAAATAAGGCAACTCAAATAATGAAGTTGTCTGCATTTACACGGAACATCTCTGGAACTGCTCTCAGGCCATAAAGCTGGACATTCTGCTGGTGTGAAAAAAAAATTCTATCCAATAATAACAACAATAAAATACAATAAAAATGGTACAGTGAAAATAAAAGTGTATATGATGAGCAAAATCAAAAATGCTCATAAAGATGCAGTTCCTGGAATGGTCAAGAAGGAGTTGAGGCAACAGGAGACCTATTCATGGCCACATAGAGTTTCGGTGAAGATGGAGAAATTTCCAATTAAAAAATTCAAATCTAGAACATTCAAAACAATACCTTTAGCAGGTTCTGATTCAAACTGGAACCTTCTGGTACATTTAAAAGGATGTTTATATGGAACAATGGAAAAAAAATAAAGTTGGCTGACATAAGTCTACAATGTAGGAATTAGTTATTGTGGATTTCCATTATTCAATGAAAGCTAATTTCCATATAGAAGCATTCTAGAACCTTTGTGAGCTAATTATCTTCAAACCTTTTTGCTTTTCTCTTGATCCTCAAATTTTTAATTTATTTTATTCCACATAGTTTATCCAATAATAAAGTTTACCTCCAAAATATGCTACCGAGAAACCTCGGTTGGCTGTATTCCTGTCAGTGTGAAGAACCAACAGCAAGTTGTTTCTACTGGATATAATTGGAGATAGCATTTCTCTCCCACACCACTTTCCTAGCAGAGATGCCTTCTCAGTACTTCCATCAAACACAGTCAAATGGTCATAATCACAACCATCTGTCAGGCTGTTCCGTCCCTCGAGATCCAGGTCCAGGAAAAAAACTTTGATTCGATAACCTAGCGGCAACTGGATGGTCCAGCGACACTTGATATTATTGGGGTAAGAGTGTGGATATTGAGGACTGGAGAAATTTCCTTTGACAGCGGTATATACCTCCTGACATGCACCTGGTTGCAAAGGAAAAACAAATGAAATGCAACGGCAAGCAACAAAAACATTCATTGTATTGCGCAGGACCACCTAGAAATTTCATCTTCAAACTTCTTCCTTTAGTTCAATGCATTTTTTAAAATAGTTTTCAGTCTACTCAGACTTGGTTTGAAGCTATTACAGTGAATACAATCATACACCATTACGTTGGTAGCCTAACCTAAAAATAGCTAAAAGTGGAAAAGTGGGCCACTATGAGTAGCTGATAGTATCGTTGTCAGAAGCCAATGTCAGGAGAATTTTATGCTGAAGTTCAGTCTAACATTATCAGCCATTCAAGACAGACCAGATTAGGAAACCAAATCCATTCATGCTAATGCTACTTTTATTATAAGGTCACAGTCACAGAATCTTGCAAGTCTGAGTGCATTTCCTCCTTCTTATCTTCATGTTAACTAGGGAGTGTCTTGTCTGACACAAGTTATTCAAGTTACAGTTTTTTGGCCCAGACTCAGGTTTCTTTCATCTGAGTCTCCCAAAAGTGCTTTTCTAAAAGGCAACTGGACTTTCTTGATTTTTTTTCCTTTGAAAACGTTTCGCTTCTCATCCAAGAAGCTTCTTCACTTCTTCAGAGATGAGAGTTCCTCAGTTTCGTGCTTCCTCACCACCTCGATGCCTGTCTCTTAATGTTTATGCTCCTGGGATTTTTACTCACTTTTTTTTTTTTTTTTGTGGTCAAGATCTCCTCTGAATATGTGCCACATATCCTAAGCTGATCTGAAGCTTAAGTTCTCCAGAATATAGTAAATAAAGTTGCAGTATACTCAGAGAAAAAATATTCAGCATACTAAAAAAAAATGATAACTTTATCAGAGCTAATGTCATGTTGCCTTAGCTAGCATTGGGGGAGCCCTTCTATTAAGAACACACAAACTGCTTAAGATTCATTAAGAAGGCTGGAAAACTTTGAATAATTGAGTTTCATTTCATTTGTTGATTTTAAAAGAAGGAGGCTCTTTCTTTCAATGTAGGCAGAATCTTATATTTTGGGCAAAGAATAGTGGATATCTATCATTTGACCCGATCAAATCTTTACTATGGGCATAGAGCAGCATAAGAAAACTGGGATAATTTTAAAAAGCTAAAAACTAAAAATAAAAAGTTACACAGGGTTAAATAAACCTTTAAAAATATTTCAAAACATGTCTCTATCTATCTATCTATCTATCTATCTATCTATCTATCTATCTATCTATCTATCTATCTATCTATCATTATCTATGTATCTCCAAAAGCCTAAAAAAAATATTTGGATTTATTTTCCGAGAAGGTTCCAAAATCACTTCATACATTTGGTATTATAATACTGATTTGTGATAAATATTGATCTTTATACTACACCTGAAAAGAAATATGCCTTGAAGCCTTTGTTAGCAATGTTAAAGTCTGATTTGAATACAACCAACAGTTCATGTGCAGAAGATACCACCTCTGGAGGTTTTGTGTTTCCACAGTAGTAACTGAGAAGCGTATCTTCCATTGTGGGCCCATCAAAGATGGCCACATAGTCAAAATTACACTGCTCGCTGTGTTCCATCTGGAAGTCAACAAAAATCAGTTTGATAATGGAGTTGGATGTTCCTTGGATGACCCAATGGCACTCAGCATTGTTGGGATAATTCTCTGGGTAATCAGGACTTGTAATTGATCCAGACAATCCTGTGAGCACACCCCCACAAACATCTGGAAGCAAGAAAATACAATATGTATTAAAATAAAACAGAGATAGAAATTAGAAAAGTACCTCCGTGAATTCCAGATGCATTCCTCCACATCACAGAAAAGAATCCTAACCAGGCAAGGAAACACTGGAGGAGTACAGGAAATAAGGAGTGCTATGCATGGGAGGTAATAAACAGGAGTGGTTTGCATATGTTTGTATGCATAAAAATATATGATAAATAAAATTACTGAGAGATAGGAATCAGAAGCCAGAGAATTAACCAGATTATGGCTGAATAAAAGAGAATATATGTAGCTCAGAATGGAACAGTGGAGTCCTTGATGCTCTCTGGGTTTTGTTGCTTTCTTGCAAACATTTTATTACCTGACTAGGTAACATCATCAATGGTAATTATGGATATTGGAAGATTTAATATATAAAAGAAGGGATGTGCTAGTTCACTAAATCTGAAAAGCACTGGACGATGAGGTGCTCAGTTACCATAATTTCACAATGAAAAACCAAAAATTTATTAACCAAAAAATTGTCATGGCATTTGTGCAACTGAAATAAAAATATACTTATTATTAACCTCAAATGCAGCCTGGCTAAAAATAAAAAAATAAAAAAATCCTATCTTCAGATTGTTTACTCCAGAGTAGTCATATTGAAATCAATAAGCTTTCCTTCCGCGTCATTAATGGTTTGGAGATTACAGCCTGGAGTTTCAATGGTTGGGTCATTTCTGCTTTCAATTATAGCAAGACAATAAGGATGAGGCAATAAAACCACAGTGGGAGGGAGAGCAGGATAAACCCTGAAACTCTTTCCTGCTGCCGCTGACCTCTGAGTGGAAAAAAGTGTGGTTTCTGGATCTTTTGGATCAGTGTTCATGAAATACCTCTGAGAAAAATAAACAAATGAATATGTTTGTGTGTGTGTGTGTGTGTATGTACGCGCTTACACTCTGAGTGCACTCCTTTTGAAAGAAATCATTAGGACTTTGCATTTTGCATGATAATGTCTGATGTTCCCACGATGCCATTTTTACAGCTTTAATATAGAATGGTAACTGCTTTTGAGGGAGGTTTGAGTAAGGTTTTCAAAGCACTTTGGACTCCAAAAATGACTGGCAAGTTCCAGAAACAGTTCCTGCTCAGCTATAAAACCGATGAAGTGATTTTTGCCGTTTTGCCAGTTTCATGCTAGGGTGAGGATTTCAGAGCAGGCTTACTGCCTGAGCAGTTCAAAATAGCTAATACACATCATGAAATTTTAATGAAATGTCATGTTACATTTATTTATTAAATTATATCCTGCCCTTTATTCAGAAGCTCACCGTTCTGTTTATCCCTCAATCGTTCCATGGAGTAGGTTGAGCTGATAGAGGCTTGGTCCTCTGGAGCCCAACATTTTAACTTATGCTCTACACTGGCAGAGAATGAACAATATTTAAATGGATATTTTGGAAATATGTGGCATTTATTTAATATTCTTACATACAGTCACTTTAAGAGAGTTGTTTGTAGAATTCAGAGGACAAGTACAAACCTTTTTATTTATTTATTTGTATCCCACCCTTATTATTTTTACAAATAACTCAAGGAGGTGAACATATCCAACACACCTCTCTCCTCTTTATTTCCCCCACAACAACAACAACCCTGTGAGGTGGGTTGAGCTAGAATAGAGTAACTGGCCCAGCTGGCTTTCATGGCTAAGGCAGGACTTGAACTCACCGTCTCCCACTTTCTAGCCTGATGCCTTAATTACTAGAATAAATAAACTGGCTTGGAATAATTTATACTACTTGAGTTATTTCTAAGCTCCATAAAGATGAGTGGAACTAACTACTTAATTACATGTTGTTGATTTCAAGAAAAATATAAATATTGTAGATACCAGGTTGCTTTCTAGATCAGGGCTTTTCAACCAGTGGTATGGGTACCACCTGTGGTACATTGGCACCTGGCAGGTGGTACGCGAGCACCCTAGAAAAGTGGTAGTGGGGGAGGGGAATGAGCTGAACCGGTGGCAGCACTGCACAAGCCTGAGCAAGAGATAGCTGGAATTGCAGGGCTGTCAGGGCTCAGTGGAAGCGCCAGAGCCAGGCTCCAGCTGGAGCTCAGCGCTGATCCTGGCACTTCTGCTGAGCCCAGAAGCCAATCAGCTGGAATGTTGCAGCATCTCCAGGGTTTTGTGATTTACATTCAGATGCTTGGCAACTGATTCATATTTATGACGGTCACAGTGTCCCAAGGTCATGTGAAGTGACCCAAACCTGCTGCAACCACCCAGCAGACGGGGGGGAAATAAAAACCAAACAGCCCCCACCCCACCCCCGCTGCCAATCCTCAACAGAAATGCTCACAACAATGAAAACCTTAGACAGGAGGAAGAGCACTGCCGGGCGGGCTGGCAGGTGTCTTCTTGGCTGTGGCTTGGGGGGGAACTTTTTTCAGTGCTATTGTAACTTTGAACAGTCACTAAGCAAACTGTTGTAAGTCGAGGACTACCTGTACTTTATCACTTTTTTCCTTTTTTTTTTGGGTCATCAAGTTTTTGACACCTTGCTAGGCGACTGGTGGTGCTCAGATATTGCCATATCCCATATCACAATGGGTGAAAAGGTTGAAAAGCCCTGGTCTAGATGCTTTTGGTAGTTTTGAAGCATTTCCCCAAAGTCCAAAGGAAAAGAACAAACTGTATTCATTATTAAACTGAAAATGAACTCTATTTAAAACTAATTAAGGAATGATTTTCTTGAAGTAGAGAATAGTAGCATATTGCACCTGGAATCATGGGAAGTTGTACCTATTCTACAAGAGAAACTGAAAACGCCAGCCAACCCAAAGAATTATACACATCAAGCCATAGCTTGCTTTAACCACCATTGAATGAATCTAATGATCAGGTTTGGACAATACTTTAGGTATAACCTATAGTTTGCAGAGCATGATGGCCAAGTTCACATATCACATAAAGTCAGAATCAAACTAACTACATTGTGTTTTAGAGATGTGTGTGTCAAATGCTGGATTTATATAGCCTTCTAAGCATTAATGTGGTTTAATTGGATTTGGGCTTATTAAGATCCATGAACAGTTAGCAAACCAGTTTGCTTCTACATTGTCTATGTTTCTTTATCGTTACAAAAATTCCATAGTGGGGCTTTTACATATTGCCAGAAATTACTTCATCTCATCCTTTGTAGAAACTTACTGCTTCTCAAGCACCCTATACCAGCAAAATGATACTGGTTCTACAATAGTACTATATGATGTAGTAATTCTTAGGAGAAATCCAGGTGAAAACAATTCTGACCTTTTTGGTAAACTGCTGAGAATCCTTGACTGGCCACATGGTTATCTGAGTGAAATATTAGAGTCAAGATATTCCAGGATGATATAAATGGTGGAGGAAAACTTGAACCACAAAATTTACCAAGCAAATTTCCTTGGTCTTCAGAAACCCCATTGAAGATCTTGATGTAATCAAATTCACAATTATCATGATATTCCAAGTCAAAATGTTGAAAAGTGAGCAGAACAGAGGATCCTTCTGTTACCACTATGAGCCATGTGCAATCTGTATCATATGGATAAAGTCCTGGGAAATTTGGGCTTGAAATATTGCCGTATGATGCTGACAGAAGTCCACCACATTTAATGCCTACAGAAAATATCAACATTCAAAGAAGAACAGATTAGTAACTAGAAAAGGTCACATTCTGGATGTTGTCCCCTCTTGTTCTAAAAACTTGTTAAAATGCCTACACCACGGGTAGGCAACCTTGGCTCTTTTATGACTCGTGGACTTCAATTCCCAGAATCCCTGAGCCAGCTTGACTGGCTCAGGAATTCTGGGAGTTGAAGTCCACGAGTCATAAAAGAGCCAAGGTTGCCTACCCCTGGCCTACACCAACTGATATTCCCAAATAGTTTTTCCCTCCCAAACTAACCAGGCCTGACCGATTACAATATTAAGCTTCAGGATAAAACATGAGTAGATAAATTTGTAATTATTTAGTTCCCTTAGAGTGTGCAGACCAGGGATAGATAAATTTTTGAGGACTGAGGCTACACTTTTTTTTTTGCCTTTTTAAAATAAAGGCATGATGTCTCCAAATTAGGCTAAAATGGGCTAATTTTGATGTTTTTAAAGCAATTCTGTGCAGACTCACACACAATGAGCCTTGAGTGTGCAAGGCTCAAGTTAGTCATTTCACTTTTACAAAAAAGAATATTCTGCATGCCCTGACGAGGAGGAATCTGGAGCTGTAAAATGGAGGATTAAAGACCACATACAGATTGTGCACAATAGATTATATTTCTTATAAATATCTTTTTAATGGTTATCTAAAACTCATTTGACCATTTTTTAAAAGATTTTGTAGGCCATCTTTTTTATTTTTATAAATAATTCAAAGCAGCAAACATATCTAATACTCCTTCCTCATCCAATTTTCCCCACAATCACTACCCTTGGAGGTGAGTTGGGCTGAAACAGAGTGACTCAAAGTTATTTTTACTCATTGAAGTCAATTCCCAATCAGTCTTGGGACTAATTTTGATATATATCCAGATAAATGACTAAAGATACTAAACAAGCCATAGTGTAATGTTCTATGCCAATCCTTCAAGAATTTGGGAGACTGGGTTGACTGAAAAGAACATTTAAATAAAATTGGGTAACGTGTACAGCAAATAGATAGTTATTTTAAAGTAGGTAGGTTTATTCTTGATTGTTTCATTTAATTGTTTTAATTAAAGATCATTTCTATTCTGTTTATACCTTAGAATGGTTTTTTTAAGGAAAAAAAGCAATGCACATAAACACATTGCAACCAAGTTCCACCGTGTGGCATATAAAATTGAATTACTGAGCACATATAACAGAATTAACAATTAGGGGTTACCTTTCTTTGATTAGTCGACATACTTAGAAAACTCCTAGTTAGTAATGTATCATTACAAAATAATTTAGTTATAGAAGTCAAAATGATAATTGCATTTCCAGGCTTAACCATTAGTCCAATAATAGACAATATCCTCAATATGTGTTTACATCCCTAACATTTCTTGAAATTACTCATTGGACTGTAAGTTTTGTTTTGCAGCATGCACAAAAGGGCCATATTCATATTTAATTAGAAATGACTCTCACCAAGTTCAGTAGGAATTCACCCTGAAAGATTTGCTATGATTGCAGCCATAAAAATACTCAAATGCAGGTCAAGTATTTCCTTCTAGTGCCATTAAATAATTGTAACTTGTTTGATTCTAAACTTTTGGCAGCAGTTACATGAAATCTAAAAACCAAATTAGCTATTAGACTCCAATATACTCTAGGTGTTTTAGTTTTTAACTGCATAGCTCAGTTCCCATTAAATTTTTATTCAACAAATATAGAACTTGGGGGGGGGGGTTGTTATGCTAAAGTGTAGAACAAGAGGGCTGTGTTTATCAAATCTCTCTCTGGATCTGTCACAGTGGACTATCTTCATATCAACGTGGACCAGCCTAAATTCTTTCTTTTTTATAAAAGTTTTATTAATTTTTAAGAATTACAGCATTTAGTGCTTAGTAAACAACATGTTGCCTGGGTTCAAATATTTAACATTATCTTCTTCAATATAAATCTGTTCAATGCTACACAACCCAGTATTTTTTCCCCGATCCTCCTTTCTTCTCCATATTTTTTCCATTTTTCCCTCATTACACCGTTACCATTTTTGGTACTGTTAATGAATACAGAGTTAAATATAAGCATCTTCATCATATTTTATTAATGTCATAGAAATAACAATAATATTAATTCATAAATTGATAATGTCAATTCATTAATCAATATCCTGTTTTTCGTGCTCTTGTTAAGGTTTGATTTCCCATCAGTATTTGAAATATCTTTATCAGTTATGATTTTGTCAATATTAATTACATTTATATAGCTAAAAGTTTTATTCACATCAATCCTCCTCTTATCTTCATATTTCCCATATCAAAAGAAAAAATGCTATATTAATTCTAAATCATATTTTTAATTATAAAAGTCTAATTATATCTAAGGGACATCTGTTCTTTTAATCTTATTCAAACAAGTGCTATACACAAATCCACAATCCTGTCACATCCAGAGAATCTAATGTCAGCAGAAAACTCTCTGACCTGATATATTCATGTAAATTCCCAAAGTATTGGAATCTATGGGGTACTATATAGGGAGTTGTAGAACAAGAACTACATGGTAGGTTATATCCATGTTAGACCAACTTGGTTTTATTATCTCTAAGTTGGGGTAGTAGTTTGGTGCGTGTGTAAGACTTTAGAAGAAAGCATATATTCTACTTTATGGATAATATCGTGTCAGGCACATTAACTCCGAAGGTTGTCACTGACTGTTTGTTATGATTGTGTAATTTCAGAGATTCCCTCTTTGTTTTGTTTCTCCTCAATGTAGTTGTCCCTATGAATGTCAGCTGCACAAAGATTGAATTTCAGATGCAAATCCCCACACAGTCTTTGGCTAGAGAAAGCAATTAGTTTAGACTCAATAAACGGAAGTCAGGCCACCAAAGAACACGGTGGCTGGACACCATCAAAACTGACACCAGCCATAGCATAGAAAAACTCAAAGTAGTAGTGGAAGATTGAAAGATGTGGAGACAGCTGGTCCAAAGATTCACCGTGAGTCAGATACGACTGAATGGATAATATCATCTTCATCAGATTGGGTTTATGGTCCTTGGATATATCCTATATATTGTGCAACAAGGACAGATTAAAAAAATATTTAATCTTTTCAAAAGCATCATTTACTTCCCTTAGAATTTGCATTATTCAGTAGACCAGCTGCCTGATAGTTTTCTGTTTCAGAGTAATATGATTGATCTTTAATCCTTGTATCTTGAATTCTTCTTCCTTGGTTACATTATGATCCACTTGCATTTCGTTTTGCCAATATGGGCATTTATTTTGACATGAATAAAATTACTTTCTCCATGACTGTGTCCATAACCAGCAGACATTATTTCTTTTTCTTCACCAGAACATGCCTATACCATGTCTATATGAGAGTAATTAAATTCACCTATTATTATAACACTTTCAATATCTTAGTGGTTTCCTTATTATTCCTTTACTTTCTATGTAAATTGGAAGATTCCACATTAGAAAAAAATCTTATTTAAATCTCAGCTTCATAGATGTGTTTCTCCCGGAGATCATGTTTTCTGACTTTATGGAATTACTCATTCTCTATGAAAACATACTTTTAAAATTGTATTTTTCTAGCTCCTTCCTTCCTTCTTTCCTTCCTTCCTGAGGACCCAGATTGTTGGGGGCAATATGGTGACTCTGTAAACCACTTAGAGAGGGCTGTAAAGCACTGTAAAGCAGTATATAAGTCTAAGTGTTATTGCTATTTCTTCCTGGTTGCCATTTATGCACTGAACATAAGTATAATTCTCTTCTCTGATTATGTCATGAAAGGATAACTGTTTTGACAGTTATTTTTTTACAAATCTGACTCTTTCAAACAAAGTCTAATCTGGGAAGCCAATTTAATTGTCAGTAACATTGTGTTAAAATCTCAGTAAAAGATTCTGCAAGATGGCAAGGTAAGAAAGACATCTGTTTCTTCAGAAATGAATATCTTTTTTTAATCAAAGGAAGTGATCGGTACTTCAACAGAATTTAGGACAGAATTTCAGTGTGAGTTCATAATCAAGATAGGGGTTTTCCCCGTGGTATTTCTTTGCATATTGCAAATATTTAACCATTGTCCTTAATTTTACTCCAATAGACTTGCCTACAGATAGTACATCCCAAGAAATCAATGGAAAATTAGTAAAACAGAAACCACAAGTTTAGACTATTGTAAACACAAATAACACAAGTAATATACTAAGTATATTAACTATCAATGAAATAGTATGAAATAATAAAGTAGTCTTCTACCTACCGCCATTCATTTAATGATTGTTCAAAGTTACAATGGCACTGAAAAAGTGACTTATGACCATTTTTTACACTTATGCCCATTGTCGCATTTTCTCCACAGTCACACGATCAAAATTCAGATGCTTGACAGCTGGCCTGTATTGATGACAGCTGCAGTGTCTTGGAATCAGGTGACGCCACTTGCAACCTTCTTACAAGCAAAGTCAATAGGGAAGCCGGATTCACTTAACAACCGTGTTCCTAATGACAACTTCAGTGATTCACTTAACAACAGTGGCAAGAAAGTTCATAAAATGGGGCAAAACTCTCTTGACAACTGTCTTGCTTAGCAATGGAAATTTTGGGCTCAGTTGTGTCGAGGATCGCCTATACAAATGTTCTCCTCTCCTGTCCTACCTAGTCTTCACAGGAGGAATAGGGGAAGAAATTTTTAGTCTGTCACAGCCATGAGGTAGCATGCATGTTTCCCATTCATTTCAATAGGGAGTGAATATTTGGATCCGCTGCCATTGGACAATTCATCACACTTAAGTCTCTAGGCTGGGTTATACACGTTTGTAATCTCAAGCTTTAAAAAAAAGTACAAATATATCCCAAACAGACTGCTGAAATACATTGCCCAAAGTGTGTCATTAGTATGCACAATAATTCCCTCAGCGGCAGCTAATTTTCCGTAGGAAATCTCTCAGGTGGGCATGGAAAAGAAACTTAAAGACGTTCTATCTAAAAATTAAGGACTTTGCAAACAAAATTGAGAATGCTGCTTCCACACACCCTGAAGCCCCTTAATTTACCTGTCTTGGCATTTATTCCATTTGCTGTGCTCAAGAAAATTATGGTGAAAAAGTGTTTGAGAAGCATCTGGGGCATCCTCAGAGAAGCGAAAACAGCAAAAGTATACTCATTGCAGGCTCTCTGGAAAGGAAAAATAGCTGGAGGGCTGTCGAATTAATAATGTAATGAATAATTTATTGCTTCTTTGAATTAGTAACATGAACTGTACTTTGCTTCCAACACTTGGTTTTCACAACTGAGATCAAATATCTCTAGAATTTACAGTGGACCGAGATATCTTGTCAATATCTTATCTGTATTTGGAAACAGTATTATTAGTTGGGATATGTTGCATAAATGCCAATATTTTTTTTAAACTGACTACATGACCTGAAGGACTCACAGAGTAATCGTACCAGATAAGGGGAAAAAAATGGGGATTTCAGATTTTACATGTAAATCTATGTGGAGAATTAGTTGGCTGAAAATAAGGAACTGTCTTCAACACAGAACTGCTGTTGATTGAAGAGAAAATGACAAATGTGATAAACTAAATCAGTGTTTTTCAGCCTTGACAACTTTAAGATATGCAAGGCTGAGTGGGGGTTCGTGGGACTTGAAGGTGGATATTAGTTATTTGTATGAACTCTAGAATAAAGAATTGAAATATTCCATATTAATGGATCAATATGGCTAAGGGTCCTAAATAATATTAAGTATATTCCTTGTGATCTTAATATGATCAGTTTACTATTTTATTTCATGTTTATTGGAAACACCATAGAATATTTTAAAAGGGTTGTCTCTCAGTGTGTCTATTTTGAGGAAAACTTAAAAACATGATATGATCTTGTCCCACTATTGCCCAGTTTTCATGAGTTTGTTAATAAGATGTTTACAAAGATCAATATACATGTATCTTCATTTTACTATATATTGTACAAACCTGAGAAAATGCTGTAGATAAATCTTGGTCATTAGTGTTATTCCATGGAGTAACACACTGCAAAAATGTATGACAAGAAGCAACACATCATTTGTCATTTTTTAAATAGTAATTTATATTAATACAAAATAAATGCTGCAATTCAATCATACGCAGAAACAATCATACACAAGATCAATGGAATTTTGGAATAAATAGTCCTAAGATTGTGCTTTCAGATGAGCAATAATTGTTTTCTCCAATATTTCTGATTTTATCCTGCAGAAGAAGAGGATGGGCAAAAAAGTCTGGAGAATGAGAAGTTTTACTGTTTTTAAGTTAACCAAAGGTACGGCGGTTAAGTAAGGATACAATCAGATTCCTTTGTAGTTAACCATCTGTAACAATATGAATTTAATTACAGATCTGATTTGTATGTCATGTTGGTGTATTATCTACAAAACTTCCACTCTTTCAGCAACTTGTGATTCATTCTGTATGTTTGTGTAAAAGAAGAAATCTTGAAATATGCATCTTTTCTCACAATTGCAACACATGAATGCTTCACATACGAAAATCACTTCTACTCTACTGTTAAAGAGCCTTGTCCCCTGCTGCATCTAGTTATTATTTCTGTGGGATGAGGCCATTGATAAAGTACCTCTTCAGAGAAGGCTAAAAGAAACCTACTTCCATACTTTTAAAGTGGACTTGGAGTTTCTCTTGTTTTTTTTTTTTTTTTTGCTTTTAAAATAACAATTGGAGTGAGGAATGACCAGAAAGAGAAACCTGGAATGAGGGAGCAAAAATGAAAATTTGTGACCAAAACTGCTATTTGGCTCTATTTAAAAATAAGAAAAAAATAACTGTTAAATTAAATGTTAGATTATATAGTAATAATAGATAAAAATGCCAAATCCAATCTGAACATCTGGCTGATGAATCATCATCGTAATAAATGTGTATACTATCTGACTCCCAATCATTGCTATTTCTCTTATTTCTCCCTTCTTAAATTAAAAAAATAAATTTAATCTTCCAGCTATTTTTAGTTGAATATCAATGGTTTGACCCCCTCATTCAACACTCTATACTTGAGCAATCTTTGACGGAAGAGGATTTTTTTTTAAAAAAAAGTATTACATCATAGCCATGGAATCAGTTACATTTTTGATATAAAAGACAGTAAGTAGATACAGCTGCTTCTTAAAGCCTGTTGCTACCCAACTAGCCAATTTTTCATATGTTTTCCTGGAGGGCAATTATGACAGTGATCTAACAAATATATAGAAAATTGTTTCGGCTATTCAAATCTCAGAGAATAGTACATTTTTTCCACCCCCTCACACAGACTGAATAATTCAACATTCTGATTTTTGGATAGGCAGGGAGACATATGATTGCAAAAAAAAGAGTAAGGTACTTTGCTGAATGCACCATGTGGCTGCACGCTCTATTTATATTCTTGTGGCACTTCCTAGAATTTGCAGACAATACTTCGTTTTGCCGTGCCTGCTGGAAATTTGCGAAATTGAAGCTGAAGCACATTTTATATGCCAGGCTGGTAAAAGTTGGAGTTGAAGCTAGAATTTCAACAAATGCAGCCCTTCCCTGCTCTATCTGGCAAACGGCAATTCTTGCCCATATTGAATTGAATTGAGCATTTTATTTGGGCAAGGGTGATTAGATACACAAGGAATAATAATAATAATACCAATAAAAGGATGAGTAAAGAAAATAATAAGGCTAAATAATAATACTACAGTCACACTACATGGATTAATAGACATTAGGCAGCACTGAATGGCAGGAGGGACAAAAATTGTCCCAGGGTCCAGTTGTTTTGGCATACAGTGGCTATAAAACCCTCTTGAGGGAAGGAGTTGAAACAGTTTAAGTCCAGGATGTGAGGGGTCTGCAGATATTCTTGCCCATTTCCCATGCCTCCTTGAAGGACATGAACCTCGCCCATCACCATCGTTTCCTTCTTCCATTCCCACAGGAGGCTCTGTTGCTGAAATTCTCCATGAATGAAGCCCGAGAGAAAGCTCAACCACAATACTTCCATTGAAAATGCTTTTGAGAGAGGTTTTAAAATCTCAACCTTAAAACTAGCAGGAAAAAAAAAAAAGAAAGTGCATCACTAAATCTGAGATCACAAGACACACCACATTTATTAATTAAGCTATATTGATCAATACCTGAGAGGTTTCCTATGGATTAATGACCATCCTGGAGGAGCTGATGGACTCAGGGTGCAGCTGAGGGCCATTAACACCGATCAGTCATCAACTCCCAGGAAATGCCCTACACCAAGGTCACTAAGTGACAGGATTTATTTTATGAGCAGTGATTAACAATAGCAATATTTTGTTGTCTCCTCCCATTTCTTCCCAAACCAAATGATTCTTATTTTTATGTGGCACAATAAATTCATAGATGTCCCTGTTGACCAAATCAAAATTTATTTAGATGAAATGAAAAGAGGTTTTTTTTTTAATCGAAGAAATTAAAATGTATATTCTCTTGCATTCCGTGGAAAGCAAAGGTTTTCTTTTCTTCTCTCTCTCCTCCCCCTCAAATGAAAAATTGTTAATAAAAGCAGACCCCCATTGTGATATAAAATTGCCAGTTTGCAAAATACTTCACAGGCATGCTAATTTATTCAGGGCATACCTGACAGATCAGCTTTCTGAGAGCTAATTTTATGACCCACTACACCAGCAAATAAATAGTTAAGATATGGTTGGGTGATCAGCATGTAAACTTGTATAGCAGACTGAATGCCATTGTCTGCACAGTTTCCTGAGACCAGCATAACTGAACACTATCCACACACATACATATACACACACACATACACATAAGCACACACAGGGCACATATTTGGATTACAATAAAGTGAAGGGTTGCTTCAAACTTGGTGTGTTGTGTGTTTTATGTGTATATATGTGTGTTTGAGAGAGAGTGCATGTATGTTTTAATGTTATTACTTGGAGTCATGAATCAATTCAATAATTTATGCTGGTGGAGTCATTTCATAGGGAACTGTGGCATTGTTCATAGTTGACATACGATATGGAAATAACAAGCACAAGATTAATAGAAATGGATTGTGTATTATCACAAAAGGAGGATTAGAAATAGAAAGCAGGATGAGAGCAGAATGAGATTAGTGAAATTGTTCGGGAAAGTACATTTGCAAAAGCAGAAGGGCTACAACAATAACATATTTACAAAAGTAATTATGTGACTCTTTCCCTCCTGAGCACAGCATAAATAACCGGTGTGGTCAGGCATGTATCCTTTTTTTCTTATTTATTAGATTTTTATCCTGCTTTTATTACTTTATAAATAAATTTATAAGTATATTCAAGATGGTGAATATATCTAATACTCTTTCCTCCTCCTATTTTTCTCACAATAATCCTGTGAAGTGGGCTGGACTGAGAAAGGACGATAACCCAAAATCACTTGGCCAGCTTTCATGCCTAATATAGGACTAGAACTCACAATCTCCTGGTTTCTAGGCCAGCACCTTAACCATGACACCAACCTGAGCTTCTGTGGCTGAGGATAGATGAGAACCTAAGTCTCCCTGGTATTACTCCAGCACAGTCCAGTACACTATTCTGGCTCTCAATTATTACCAATCAGTTTTTGGAGGGGATTTTTGTAACTCTTTAGTTAGAAACTACCCACTATCCAAAACAGAGTGTCCCAATCTTGGCAACTATAATGTGGGGGCTTTAGCTCTCAGAATCCCCCCGCTAGCATGGGAGTTGTTATGTCCCGAGCCTTGCAAACGGCTCGGGCGTTTGCAGGCAGTCCCGGGCAGGTGCAAGGCTGCCCGGGACCAGACAGGCTGTCGCCAGCGCCGTGCGCATGCGCGGGTGCTGGCGCGGGAAAAGTAACACATTTACCTGGGAGTTGCCTATATAAGAGGCTGCGAGCGTTTGGGAAGCTAAGAAGCCATCTACTTGTAAGCTGAACGCAGAATAAAGAAAACTGAGAACTCCAACTACTTCTCGTGTATGCTTTGCGCCAAGGACTCAACACTGGCGATGAGGATGGGATGCCTTACACCGCCTGGAAAGGAAGAAGTGTAAGCTTACCCAAGTGAGTCCTGAGCGGCGGAACGGCGTCGACTCGGCAGCTACCCACCAATCCAGTGCGCATTCGGGGGTAGGCTGGCTGATAGACCCGTCTCCTGAAGATGGCGAAAATCGGAAGGCTTTCGGAGTTCGACGTCTCACATCCAGAGCGGTGGGAGTCATACGTAGCCAGGGTGGAGAACTACTTCAAGGCAAACCAAGTGAGGGAAGAGAGCTTGAAGGCTGCCACCCTGCTTTGTGTTTGCGGTCAAGACGCCTTCGACATCGCAGAAAACCTTGCAGCACCTGTTCCAGTAGAGTCTGTCAGCTACGCAGATCTGAAGAAGCTACTGAAGGAGCACTTCCACCCCAAGATGTCCGTCATCGCATGGCGCCACACCTTCGAGCAGAGGGATCAACGGCCCGGTGAGTCGGCCAAAGAATACATCGCCGCATTACGGAAGGCCGCCAAGCACTGCGAGTTCAAAGACCTCGAAGAACGACTGAGGGACCGATTCGTGTGCGGGTTAAGGCATCGAGATCTACAACAGAGACTTTTCGCTAAAGAAGAATTGTCCTACCAAGATGCCTTAAGGGAAGTCACCGCAGAAGAAGCAGCAGGCGGCGCTGTCAAGAACATGCGGCCGATCAGAAACAGTCCAGAGGTTGCATCCGTGCACCAGGAAGACGTCCAAAGAAACTCCGAGGAGGATCTGGACGAGGAAGTCGACCGTCTCCACCCCACGAAGGAAGAAAAACAGAAGGGAAGCTCTTCAGCTCCGCTCAAGTGCATCGGCTATGGAGGTCGCCACAGGAGAACCGACTGCAAGTTCCGCTCCGCTACCTGCCGGGCATGCGGCAAACAAGGACACATTGCAGCTGTGTGTCTGGGCCGACGAAAGGTACAACCTCAGGAAGAACTGCGCCTGAAAGGTACCAGATTCCCCAGCCAGAATAGGGTAGGGTTTTGCGCTTCGCGAAGAAGCATCCTTAGGACAGGCACACACAAGCCCATTAAGAAAAAGCTGTCACTCAAGGTGAAGCTACAAGGGGTTCCATTATCTATGGAACTAGACACAGGGTCTGCCCTTTCAATCATCTCCTTGCATACATTTAGGAAGATTTGTTCCGGTAGTGGAACTCAGGCCAAGTTAAGGCCTTCTGACATTGTGTTAACAGATTTTCAAAATTCAAGAGTGTGTGTTAAGGGGGAGGCCACCCTTAACGTGCAATACAAGAGTTTTGAAGGTCCACTAGACGTATTAGTAGTAGGGGGTGAACGAACGAGTCTCATAGGACTCGATTGGTTTGAGGCCCTGGGGATACACGTCACAGGACTCAACAGTTTACAAACACTCGACCTACAGGAAGTCTGCAAAGAATTTGCAGATGTTTTCAGCCCCCAGCTGGGCACATTCAAAGGACCCCCTGTGTCCTTAAAGCTAGACCCCACTGTCACTCCCATTAGAATTAAAGCAAGAAGGGTCCCTTTTGCTTTAAAGAGTAAAATTGACACTGAGTTAGACAAACTGATTCAACAGGGAATCCTAGAACCTGTTGATTCCAGTCCTTGGGAGACCCCCATTGTCACGCCTCTAAAGGCAAATGGGGACATTCGCATTTGTGCTGACTACAAATGCACTCTGAATAAGGCATTGCAGCAACATGCCTATCCTGTTCCTGTGGTCAGTCATATTCTGGCCTCCCTCAAGGGGGGGCGCGTTTTTGCAAAGCTTGACCTAGCTCAAGCGTATCAACAGCTGCCTGTTGATGATGATGCTGCTATAGCTCAGACTATTGTGACCCACAGGGGAGCCTTTAAGGTAAAAAGGCTGCAGTTTGGAGTGAATGTCGCTCCTGGGATTTTCCAAAGCGTAATGGAAAACACACTGCGGGGCATACCGGGGGGTTGCCCCTACTTTGATGATGTCTTAATTGCAGGAGACTCCACACACATTCTAGCTGAAAGGCTAAGGGCTGTTCTGTTAAGGTTCAGGAAAACAGGCCTCAGGCTCAAAGAAGACAAATGCAAAATTGGGGTGCCTTCTACTGAATTTCTGGGATTCAAAATTGATGCTGCTGGAATTCACCCTGCTGAATCCAAACTAACTGCCATTTTAGAAGCACCTAGGCCAAAGTCCAAGGCCGAACTTCAGGCCTTCCTGGGTCTCCTGAATTTCTACAATTCTTTTCTTCCACATAAAGCTAGTGTAGCTGAGTCTCTTCACAGGCTACTAGACAAGCAAGCAGTGTGGCGGTGGTCACAGACGCATGAGGCCTGCTTTAACGAAGTCAAGGCCTTGCTCACTTCTAACAGTGTACTTGCACATTTCAACGAGTCTCTTCCTGTGTGCATCGCGTGTGATGCGTCCCCTTACGGGGTTGGAGCTGTCCTGAGCCACCTCAGGTCTGATGGAACTCAGGTTCCTGTTGCATATTATTCAAGAACATTGTCTTCTGCCGAGCGCAACTACGCTCAGATAGACAGGGAGGCTCTGGCTGTTGTTGCAGGAATTAAAAAATTCCATGATTTTCTATATGGCAGGCATTTCACGGTCTTCACTGACCATAAGCCTCTGCTGGGACTGTTTACCACACGTAAGCAGACTCCCCAAATCATTTCCCCTAGAATGCTTAGGTGGTCTATTTTTTTGTCTGCATATGATTTTTCTTTACTCCACAAGCCTGGGAAAGAAATGGGCCATGCTGATGGCCTCAGTAGATTGCCTCTGCCAGTAGTAGAAGCTGACCCTGCGCCAGCTGTCAACATTCTATCAATCCAAGCCTTGCCCGAGCTCCCTCTTAGTGCCAGGGATGTTGCCGCTGAAACAGGTACAGATCACACACTTTCACGTGTCCGTTCCTGGGTTTTGTCTGGTTGGCC